CGTCACAATGAAAAGTTTTCACTCTCGTTAATGCTCGTTTTACTGCCTCAAACAAAGCACATTAGCCAATCAAAACGTGTTTAACAAGCCAATGCATTAGATTAGAAGATAGTTATTCCTTAATGCTCATTAGTTTACTTCGCTTTAGTTGTCATGTTAACGCAGTATAATGCGCATTATTTACATTCGAATTAGTGTACTTCGCATAAATTTACTGCGATTTAAACTCTCTGTGTGAACATGGCATTTAATTATCACCTGCATAATGGGTGTGTGTCTCATCATTTGTTTGATAAGATAGATAAACTTTATGTATGAACAATTTCTAAAACGGGGCAAGCTATTGACAACAAGTTGATTAAAAAAAGATATCAAGAGGTTCGTATAAAGTCAACATTTTGTTATTTATTTTGTCGATACAATAACTTTTGTCAGCAAATACAACCTATCATTTAGTCCAATGTTGACCGACTTTATTGATACCTATTGTTAAATGAAAATATGGAGATATCGAACAGTATTCAAGATCCAAAGCCCATAAAATAATACATCATTGAAGCGGAGCAAACACTGACCTCCAAACAATTTAACCATTCTTTATAAACAGAATTTTTACGGATTTTTCAATTTGCCAGATCGTGACAAGTGTGCGTGACAGGTTGCAGGGGATTCTTACTCCTTCATGGTTTTTGATCCCTCCTCTGATGTTCAGGAGGTTCATATCTGCTATACTTTCGATTTGTTTTGTTCTCTTTTGAGCTTGAATACTGATCAGTATTTCGATATATTATCAAAGAATAACAACATTCACGATGCATTTATTTTTTTTTCTTTATTCATTAGTTTGTTCATTGTTTGAGTGACCATTCATAGTTGTTGGTATTCAGCTGAAATTTGGTGGAAAAAATGTGTCAAACACAGCTAAGCAAACCAAATTTCTGGAGAGCAGTGACTGTTCCATCGATAAAACATATCATGACGTACATATCGATGGTGCAACGATAAGCGAACTTAATTTAATGATGAATGGATATTTATGTAGACATAAATACATGTACATACAATAAAATATCTTTCTTTGTTTGAAATATGGGAATTAGCGTTTCAGATATTGCAGAAAAAAATAACATAACTCGCTTATGTGGGTTATGTATTTTTTTTTCTATAATATCTGAATCGTTAAATCCCGTATTTCAAACGAGGAAAGCATTTTATTGTTTAAATATATAAGTGGAAAAAAGATTACTTTCAGGATTTTATTACAATTTTTACACTAAGGAATATTACATTTCGCATTGTTTAAAACGCATCACTTTCAAAGTCCATAGAATGCAAGTGAATCTGAAACAATAAAAGATTTTTTTTTCAGTATGTAAAATTAAACCGTTAATAAAAGATTTTTTTTTTCAATATGTAAAATTAAACCGTTCATAAATAATAAAGAGATTTCACTTACCGCTGATATATGATTTTACTATCTACCACTGAAAAAGTAAAATTGTATTAAGATATTTTAATTTATCGAGAATTTTTCAGAAAGAAATATCTACTATGAAAAAAATATGGGAAAACACTTCTTTTATTACTTCTTCTAATAGGAGATTGATTTCTCATCAACACAATTCAAAAGCTAAATTATAATATTTGAAATATTTTAAAAATTCTAATAAGTAATTAAACTGGTGTGTAGAAAGTAAGACTTATGGTATGATATACGTACTACTCTAATATCTTAAGACCGTATCCAAGTTTTTCAGTTTGTCTGGAAGCCAAATAGTCCATAAGTAACACGTCCGCCATAACATATCTTGGTTTCCGGCTGAAACTATTGTAATTTTCTTAGACGTTACTAAAGAAAGAAAAATCCTTTTACCGCATAGCTCATTTAAAATGAAAATTTAATGATATTATTGGTTTACCTTCTCAATAAAATGGTTTCCACCTCCTTTGCGAAAGTGTCCTTGACGACAACTAATAAAAAAATACTAAAGACGAGAGTAAATGCCACTTTCCTGCTCCGCAACATTATCCCTGTCTGCAAATATAGTACCAGATTTGGTGTGTAATTGATTTTATTTATAAATTTACGTGACTTGATTTATCAACACTTGATTTTTAAAAAGATTTATACGTTGAATTATGAATCAAGCAATATTTATCGTTGGTGCAGTGTTGGAAGATGCATACTTTTTGGACATCCACTAAAAGGAACAAGCATTATTAAAAAACAGTAACTGTTATGTATAGAGGACATTTATCATTTTTCTACTGAATAAATGTAACATGAAAATTTTCAAAATTTGTTATTTTTTATTTAAAAATTCCACTCTTATAGTCAATTTCAAATGTAGAGCCTTGTAACAAATAAAATCAGATTTTCAGGATTTTATCTAAATTTCTCAGATTCATCCAATTTTTTTTTCCTGCAAGTGAAATAATACATGTGGCTACTTTTTCCTTGTAATTCGTCTTTTTAAGGTTGTGTATGATTCAGATTCAATTTATAATTCCGAAACAATTAGGGTAAAAAACGGAAAATGCAAAATTTCTTCTGTTTGATTTTGAGTTTTATCATACCTTGGTAAATATCTACCAAACAAATCTGGATGACTCCTGCTTATTATTAGAAAGATAATATATATACATATATGTATAAGATGATAAATACGATTGGTCCCTTATATTAATAATTTGTATTTATTTATGCACTATCTTTAATCGATATTTTACAAATACTAATATTAATTAAAACACTTGATATGAAAGGAAAAGTTAAACTTAATTTAATAAAATCAAATCTAGGAAAATGCTTTCTTCGAAAGGCAAATTTTAACTTCTTACTGTATTTTTCCCTCAATATAATGGCGTATTTGAAATTTTTTCAAGACGCTAGAAATATCAAAAAGTACAAAATTGCTAAAACGATTTAAATCTTAGTAAACTATTTTATTTCACCTTTTTTCTATTTCAATTAGAAAAAAAAATAATTTTTATAATTCAAAACATCTGTTGATAAGGGTGATATAAGAATATGCTTACCTAACTCCTCTAAACTCTTTTCTGTGTTTAGGACGTTAACTTTTATAGGATAAAGAAAGCCAAGCTCTATACTCAAGCGACAGGATACCTCCGTCGTATAAAGAATGGACTCTACATCCAATACCATTCTCAGTAAATTACCCCTACAACGTTCTGGTCAATTCATTTATTATTCATACTGACAGTGTTGATTTATTATAGTAATTTTTGTTTCTGTATTATAAAATTTGTAAGTGAGTACTTTTAAAAGTTCCTGTGCACCGTTATTTTTGATTGGCCTTCTGCCCACGTACTTTTATAGACGTTCAGTACAATTATCTAGAATAACATTAAAAATGAAAATGCTCATAAAGTAATACCCAACGTATTTAAAGATATCTATGTTATATAGGAAAATTATCAAAACTCAAAAAATATTTGAGATGCCTTTCTTTCAGTGAAAAATTCTCGAATTGGACTTTAAAAATCAATCAATAAATAAATCCAAACAACTGATAAATCAAAAAGGAAACCGGTTATTAAAATGTATTGTATATTGTTTTAAGTAGAGTGGTAACCTTGAGTCATTGAGTAAAGAGTGTTTATTTTTTTATTTTAATGCATGGCGGGTGTGACTGGTCGGCAGGGAATTATCACTCCTTCATGGCACCTGATTCTACCTTTGATGAATTTGGAGGTCCGTGTTAGCTCTGCTCCAAATTTGTTTTGTTTAAAAGGACTTCAAGCTTGAGTACTATACGTTGTCTCCGTATTTCATAGACAAAACCAATAAGTGATAAAGGCACCGCCAAATGAGATACATTTGATTATTTATTAAAGCGTCCTGGAATTGGAATTTCTCATTGACAACATTTATGTACTCTTCGGATTCTAGTTCTTCCATAAACGTATTGAAGTTTCGATAGGAACATATATATATATATATATATATATATATATATATATATATATATATATATATATATATATATATATATATATATATATATATATATATATATATATAACACAAAATGTTTACGAGAAGATGAAAACACTTGCTGTGGCCTTCAACCCTATTTAAGATATGGAAGCTTTATTATCAATTATGATTAACTTATAATTGAATTAATATTTCGACTCGATATATCCCAGTGAACTTGAAATTAAGAGTACCACAAAGTCTATCACACCTATTTTCTATAGTTGGTTACAAAGCTGTAACGATAAGGCCAACTAACTTCTTTTTAACTATGGCAAGCCACTGAAAGATAAATTTAAATTAATGGAGTTTCGTTTAAGGTCAACATTTTGTAAAAATCTATGCTTTATAGTAGCCCTGATAGCAAATATAAGCTATGAGTTGTAGTTTGGCTGACGCGTTTCTCAATAACTTCTTCACCTATGCTTGTTTACCTACTACATTTTACTACATGGGACATGCTCTTATGTATCAAATTAGTTTGGAGATGTAAACTTACCATATACAGGAGATAGCTATAAATTCTTCATATTGCATTAAAGCGTGTTGGTCTATGTGATTGCTCACAACACTGAAGTCAGTACTGCTACATCTTTCAAAACAAATAATATATTTTGATGCTTAAATGACGTCAGTATATGATGTATCTGATATTAAACAATTATAGGGCTACGAAGCACATATAAGAAAAATTAGGCTTAAAACTTTGTTCCCCTAATTGAACAACACAAAGATCTCACAGTGTGTGTTACTGATCAACATTGGAATTTCTCCTGTTAAGAACTTAATCCAAACTCCGGTGTTTCGGGCGGGGAGTCCGCTTTTATGCACTGTTCACAGATTTGCATTGTTTGTAGATTTTTGACGTTGATTAGTGTTCTTTACCATTCTGTATGGTAGAGAAACCTATCATGTGTTTAAGAGAACACATCTGCTCTGATCGCCCGTATCAGCCCTTAGTTACTTAGGTAAGTTAAAATCAGTAATCAAAATACCGGTATTGGGATCAACAATTTTTATTTCATCATGTTAATATAAAAATTCTTCGGAGTAACTCTCTTCTAAACGTCGTAAACCTACAATACAATTCAGAAAGGAATATAATTTCCAATTATTTCAGGTTCTTTAAATAATATTGGTATACATTTATATAACAGGTACTTACTCTCACACAAGCTTGTTGCAGCTATCTTCCACTGTAATAAAAAGTTACCAAGTGAGTTATAGAATTCGAAAGATAGCAAAAAGTTTAATATTCAGATAAACAATGTAGGCTTTGATCCAAAAAATAAACATGTTAATCATTCTTAGGAGTTCCATGAACATTTAAATGAAAATATATGAAGATAACGCTGTTATAAACCAGGAACCGACCACTTTGAACTGATTATTTTAAGCAAAACTAGAGATATTGTGAGCAATGAGCTCACTAAATGATACCCCTCGATTCCTATATGAATATAATGGCAGTGTCCATGGTTTGCTCTGGAAAATCCAAAATATATGTCAGCTCAAAAAGTAACGTAGGAGGTGCCCAATGGCAATATGTAATAAAGATTCTGTAAAAGTTTCATTAAATTTTCTTCTGTGGTATGAGAGGAGTTGCAGATAAGAGATGGTTACTCATAGGTAACAGACGTACAGAGAAACGGACGGATAGATGGACATCCGATCACTATATATCCTCCCGCTTTTCAAGCGGGGGTATAATGATGGATGTTGTATATTGTCGATGCAATGCTATCTCTTATACAGTGAGTACTATCTGACCTGTTATATTGAAACGTAAGTTTTCTGTACAATATATAATTGTTTAAGGTAACTTAAAACCTTACAAAAATGAATAAGGAAACATACTAGTCAGTAACATTGAGTCCATGAGCAATTTTCTCGTCCAACAAAGCTAGGGCGTTCATCCTTACGAGGTCTCCAATGGCTGACCTGACGAATATAAACATTTTACACTGAAGTTTTGAATATCATCTTTATCTATTTTAGACTTTATAAGACTGGTCAATAATTTTGCATCATGAAAATATAGTTTATTTCAGGTATTTTTTTATGAATATTTTCATTTTTGAATGGCATGTTTTTTAACATTGTTTTTCATTTAAAAATTGTAAAATACAAAAAGAAAGTAAAATTCTTTAAAAGACAATTGCATGGAAAAATTTTAACGAAAATAAGCATTAATCCTTGTACCTTTTATAATTGGGGACATCGCTAAATCTGATGGAATTGCCGAGTTCTGTCGTTGATAAAATTAAGAAGACTGAGAGGATAAAGTAGTGGATCATAGCTGTTTGTCTACAATACATAGGTATATATATACATGTATAAGGTGACCAAAAATGAATATTCCTTTACTTTTGAGTGTAACTTTGATACATAAAATACCGTTATCATTTATTGTTTCCTGTAACTATTTTAGGATTCAAGAACTGGGCACAAAAAAAAACAGACTACTCCTAAATTGGTGTTTTATTTTTATTTATTTATTTATCTCTTTATCTTATTATTATTTTTTTGGTGAATAAAATATTTTAATATAAATATTTAAAATCTTTAGATTGACATAGTCGCATGTATATCTTGCTTATAACATTGATATATTTTCTTTCCATCATTGATGTTTATTGTATTTTATTTTTACATGCAGATTATCTTTAAATCTTTAATATTTTTTTATTATCTATATAAATAGTTTTTTATCATTCATTTTTATCATTTTTATATTGATGTTAATTATTAATATTTACAAACAAAAAAAACATGTTCTGAATATTTTAAAGCAAAATTGCAATTGAAAAATTATCATATACATAAATAAAATTAAAAATTCATTTTAAATAAAGGCTGGAATGAAGAGTGTTGAGCGCTGTGAAGTTCCTCAAAGTGGACAACTAAGGAAACATGACTTTACAGGTCGACACATGTAACCAGTATCTTGTTTTAGAAAAAAGGGGAGTGGTAGTAAACGCAATTAAAGATCTAGAGGGAGAAGTCATCCCACGTCATCTTATCTTACATCTTCGGGCAATTTTTTTAAACTCACATGGTTTTTCGCCCAAATCAACGTCACATTGTCACAATGCAAAATTGTGTACTAAGGCAACAAACTTTATTTTTAAAGTAATTATAAATGAATTTTATTTCACTAACTTAAAACATAATTTACATATAATAATTGGTAGGATTTTGATATGCTTTTGGCTGATAGAATATGGCAGTTCTCAATTGGTTCTTTGTGGTTTTTCATCAAATGCAGCCTTCTTTATTTCCGTAAATTCTTTTGAAAGCAGGCCTTTGCCAGTTTGCCTTGCCTGAACACAGAAACAGTGCAGCTCATGTAACTTGTGTAATTTTCTGTGCATTAACATGACTCTTAAGCGCAAGATGATAACCTTATTTATAGGGATGTCAAATCGGTCAATTTTCAATACTCGGTTACTCGGACGTTTTTCCGATCGAGTACCCGGGTACTCGGTAAAAGTGCAAATAAATATGAACAAGTAAATATCGTGACAAGATCATGTTCTTGGGCAGACAACTTTGTCGAAACAGAAGAATAAAATCAGTGTCTTCCTCTAATGGAAAAATCAAAATATATGATCGGGACAATGAATCCCACTTCATTCGAGAAGAGGCAGATCTAGTACCCTTTGGACATGTAATGGCAATTGAGTAAAATGTTACAAAAAGCAAACAAACAAAATAGTAAACTCAAATGCGTTTAAATATAAATCGTATAATATAAACCTTCCTACCACACCAGTTTGTTTTTCTTTTTAGAACTCAATCAAGATGAACTGCATCAGTTTATGTCTTATGTTTTGTGCAGTTCAACTAACTTGTGCATTTCACGATTTAGAGGTCAAATCAACCTCAAATTTCTGTGATGTTACATTAACTTGTATAATCTATTGTGTGTACAACACAGTGTTTGTATATATTTTCTACACACAATACTCTTGTTTTCTGTTTCTTTGGTTTGTTATTATTTTCAATGTATGTTTCTTTGTTCACTTTTTTGTTGTATTATTTTTTTGTGTTACATTTTATAATTCTTACAATTTCAATTGTCATGCTTTGCGTATTCTGCTGAATCTCTCAAACTCTGTACTTTTTGTCCCATTCTTCCGTATGTCACTATTATTTAAAAACACCATTGCAGCACCTTTTTTGTTTCCTACTGTACACTTTCACCAAATTTTAGACAATGTGTGACTCTGTTGAACAATACCGTGCTGCAATCGGTCTTTTTTATTTATCCTGTAGAGGTGTATGCAAGTCTTACTCATTCCATATCTCGGTTTGTGAATTCCTATTGCGCGTTCTTTACAGTACGATCAAAACATTATTAAGATGTACGACACGGTATAAGAAAAACTTAGTGTATATTAACTTTTACTTGCAGTTGTTTACGTTTATTTTATTAGCCTGTGGTGATATTGAGGTCAATCCAGGACCCACTATCGAAAGTGTCCTTGACATTTTGCACCTAAATATTCGCAGTATAAGAAACAAACTAGGTTATTTGAACTCATTCGTCCATGACTTCGATATATTGTGTTTTACTGAGACCCATCTTGACCATACCATATCGAATGATAATCTATTATTAGATGGCTTTAGTAATATAATACGAAAAGATAGAAATTGTTTTGGGGGAGGTATTATGATATATTTATCAAATCAAATACATGTAACAAGACGCCAAGACTATGAACCAGCTAATTTAGAGTGTATTTGGTTAGAAATCGAAAATCGTACCTGTAAATACTATCTCTGCTGTATTTATCGACCTCCAAACGCTGACGCCAGTTTCTGGACTAAACTTTCATGGAGTTTAGATAAAGTAGGAGAATCCTCGAGTAAAATCATAATTGTTGGTGATATAAATGTAGATTTGTTAAATACTCCTCCTACACACATAATACGTGAAATAGTTTCAAATTCCAATCTTGTCAACAACATCCACGTACCGACGAGAATTACTAACAATACACGCACGCTTCTTGACCCAGTTTTCACTTCACTTGATATTCAGGTACATGATTCGGGTGTCCTTGAAATTGACCCAGCTTTTAGTGATCACAAAGCAACTTATATTGCACTAGCCTCGAATATAAATTACAATCGCGCTTACAAAAGAAAGGTATGGGATTATAAAAATGGTGACTTTGACAAATTAAATTCCTTAATACAAAATTGTGATTGGGATAAATACATCAATCATGCCGACAATATACGCGGCTACCGACAATTTTTCAAATAAATTTCTCTCTTGTGTTAGACAATCTTTCTGTGAAAAAACAATTACTATTCGTCCACGAGATAAACCTTGGATGGACTCCATTCTGCGTAAAACTCTAAGACTTAGAAATAGATTACGAAACAAAGCGTTACGAACGAAGAAAGATTCGGATTGGGCTGAATTTAAAAAAGTTCGGAACACGTTCAATAACATGAAAAAATATGCTATAGCTAATTACTATGATAATATAGAAATGCACCTAGTAGACGCAAACAAAAACAATAACAAATTATATTGGAAACTAATGAAGGACGCATTTAATGTTAAATCATCCAATGATATCCCTCCATTACAAATTACTACAGATAATGGGAAAAATAGCTTAGCCTTTTCTGATCATGATAAAATTGAAGCACTCAACAGTTATTTTTCATCCATCTCCTGTATTGATGATAAAAACCATAGTCTACCACAAATCTACTCTTCATGTAGTGATAATCTAAGTAATATTATAATTGATGAACAAGAGGTAGTTGACATTATTTCAGTACTTCCTGTTAATAAAGCCACTGGTCCCGATTGCATCAGTCACAAAATGCTTAAAAATACTGTTTCTACTGTTTCAAAACCATTGACTATGTTATTCAATAAATCACTGTCAGAGAATGCTTTCCCGTCCACGTGGAAAGTAGCTCATGTATTACCCCTCTTTAAAAAGGATGATCCGTCTTTAGTGTCTAACTATAGGCCTGTGTCGTTGTTAAGCTGCGTTAGCAAAATTATGGAGAGAATCATTTTCAAACACGTGTATAATTATTTTCATTTTAACAATCTATTTTATCGATATCAAGCAGGTTTTTTACCTGGTCACTCTACAGTGTTCCAACTTCTAGAAACTTATCATAGTATTGTACAAAGTATAGATGAAGGCAAATCGTGTTGTATGGTTTTTTGCGATCTATCAAAAGCATTCGACAGAGTATGGCACAAGGGTCTTCTTTTCAAATTACAAACGTATGGAATATCTGGTGATCTTTTACTGTGGTTTACAAGTTACTTAAGAAATAGATCACAAAAAGTTATGTATAAAGATCTGCTATCATCCAACCTCAATATATATGCAGGTGTGCCTCAAGGCTCAGTTCTAGGTCCTCTTTTATTTTTGATATATATTAATGATGTTGCTGAAAATATGCTTACAATGTGTAGATTATTTGCTGATGACAATTCACTGCAACATGCATCATATAATGTACTAGATATAGAATACAGGTTAAACCATGATCTAGATGTTTTAGATAAATGGTCGAGCAAATGGCTTTTAAGATTTAATCCAGCAAAAACAAAGGTTGTATTTTTTTCTTTGAAACATAAACCTGTTTTACCTAACTTGTATTTTCAAGGCAATGCACTGGAGTTTGTATCGGCGCATCGCCATTTGGGTATATTGTTGTCACAAAATCTGAGCTGGTCTGAATATATAGATAGTATTGTTAATAATGCTTATAGGAAATTGGGGTTATTAAAAAAATTGAAATTTTCAATCGGTAGGAAAAACCTTTCTCTATTGTATACAACATTTGTAAGACCTACACTTGAATATGCTTCAATTGTCTGGGATGGTTGCTCTTTATCTGATGTAGAAAAACTAGAAAAAGTACAATTAATGGCTGCTAGAATAGTTACAGGTCTTCCGATATTAGCTTCAAGAGAATCACTCTATTTTGAAACAGGATGGGTACCTTTGAAAAATCGTCGTTACCAATCTAAAATGATTACAATGTTCAAAATTAATTATTGTGATGTACCGGAATATATACAAGATATAGTACCAAAGAAACGAGAACACACATCAAGATACAATACACGAAATAAAGATCAATTAACTATCCCAAGAGGCAGGTTAGAAATATTTAACAAATCGTTTGTACCTGATGCTGTTAAAAAATGGAATTTATTGAATACAGATACAAGGGAAGCCATCTCAGTCAATTCTTTTCGTAAGATTATAAGTGATAATAATCCTAAAGCACCATCATATTTTTTGTTTGGTAAACGTATTACTAACATTATTCATACTAAATTAAGGCACAACTGTGTATTGAACCAAGACTTATTTAAACGTAATATTATTGATAATCCTAATTGCTCTTGTGGCAAACAGGAAGATGCTTATCATTTTTTCTTTGTTTGTAAAAAATATCTTAATGCTCGAAGTAATCTTTTTGACTATCTTTTTCGACTTGATGTAGACATCATAAATGTACACCTACTGCTTTGGGGCAACGAAAATCTTTCAATTGAAGTAAACATTGGCATTTTTGCCGCTGTTCACAAATTTATAAATGAATCTTGTAGATTTAACTAGATATATTATTGACTCTTATTTGTACAAGTTTTTTTTTCTACCTTTTGCATGACTATGTGTTTATGTTAAGGAGAAGAACTAGTAAGTTGTTAGAACTTGTTTCTTATCCTTTTGCTTGTCAATAAAATATGTTCAAAACAAAACAAGTAAATTGAAGACTGTAAAACATTGTAAACTCTTGTAGAAATAAAACCAGATGCACTGATAGGAAGCTTATCCGTAAATGTATTTCTTTTGTAATAATGATGAGCACCTCGTGCCCGACGAAATTAAACATTTTTTAAAATTCAATTTATTTATCAGATAAACACAAGATATAAAATCATAAGTTGTTCACAGTGTTTTTTTTTTTTAAATAATCTGCTCCGTAATTGTAATGTAACTCTTTGTCGCGTTTGACGACAAGGTATCAGTCGTCAGAGCTACGTACGGTATCAACTTGCACTTGATCAAGTCCTCCTAACAGAGCGGATTTGCGATTTTCGTACACTTTTTCGATCCTAGATTTTATAATATTACGGGACGGTATTTTGTAGTTTGGTGCAACAATGGCCATCAGTTTAATTAAAGCCTTTGCCTACAACCAGTTGTAATCAAACACAGCCATATCGATAATCGCACATGTAATATCATCCGCTCTTTTCCCGAGAATTTACAGCTTCTCGGAGAATTGACAAAAATATCTAATTTATTTAAACCTAATAGATTTAAAACGATGTTCAGTGAAAACAAATAATTAAAGCCAAACAAGAAATAAGGATAGAAGACAGCCGAAGGTGAGAAAAGTCAGGTACCCCAAGTGCTTGGTCACGATAATTACTGTATAATCACTTCCACAGGTGATAACGGTCATTTAGAGTCGTAGTAAACCCTAATTACTGTATGTACAAGTGCAATGAGCATTTTACGTTTTAAAAGAGATTGTTTAATGCATAATGAATAAGCTTAGAAATATTCAAAAATATACATCCGAGTAATCGAGTACCGATTTTAGTATTCGATACTCGGACGTTCGATCGAGTACCCGGTTAACCGGGTACTCGTTGACATCCCTACTTATTTATAATCTGTTCGACTGTAAAAGCTGTAATCTTTACAGAATTCCTTACTGAAATCTAGCATCATGAAAGATACGTATTATCGCAAAATTTAAAAGTTTCAAATCATAAATTTAATAGAATTTTTTCAATAGTAACATTTTAAAATTTTAAAATGTTAGGCAATACTTCATTATCCTATCTCTTTATGCAGCATTGTCATTTTTGGCGCTACATTTCGACAAAACCAAGACAATTATAGTGAATGTGCAAAGTTCTTGGAAAAAAGTGCTAGGAGATGTAGACACTAAAATGAAAGGGTAGAAGGGACAAAGAGTGGGCAATCTTGAAAAAAAATCTGGAAACTATACCAAGTGTTTAGACAAGGCATAAAGCCCTGACTACCAGAAAAAAACAGAGTTAGGACATGGATTTATTGTCTGAATGGGGCAAAGTTAACTCGTGTAATCCAAGAGGAAACTGTAGCAAACCATCTCATCTATGGTAATATTCCAATATATTGGCTAGAAATTTGCTGTGATATTTTCAATCAATCAACTCCTTATGAATTTTATATCAATTATTATAAAATATATTAATATTAATTTCCGAGGGAAATTCTACTCTTTGTAGTAGTTATAGAGTGCGATTTCCTCCAGAGCCAAATTTCCCCCTAATTGGTTTAAGGATAGATGATACAAACAAACTTTGAAAATTACAACTTAAGTCCTATTTAAATAAGTAAAATAAACAATTTGAACAGCACAGCTTTTAATTTTTCATTAAATGTTTAACAAAAATGGGATTTAAGGAGATTTAATACGACAAAAACCTGTACAGATTAATAAGAATGGTTACAGAAGGGTGGAAATTTGAACATCATAGTAATATAAGTTTACAATTTCTTAATATTGTAAAAAGTTTATTTATATAATCATTTACAACCAAAATAGGTCCAAAAATATATACATGTACTAATCCAGACATCCATTTATTTTTTGTTTGTTTCTACATACATGTACATGTATTTTAAGAATATTTACATTTATTTTGAAAGGTAAATATTTTGGTTGAGATTCCATGATTTGAAATATATGCTTAGAAAATTCATCTTTTCTAACATCTTTTTTTTCACAAAATTATTGCGTCTGTGGATGTTGATATTGACTCTATAACAAGGGGGAAAGCCTACTCTGAGAAGAAAAGAGCGAGAAATTTGGATTTGGTGTGAGATTTCCCCTCGGGGGAAAATCGTACTCTATAGAGTACAATTTCCGGGGGGAAAGCTGGCTATGGAAGAAATCCTACTCTACAACACCGGTACCTTAACGTTCAAAATAAGTTAGCTGCGAAATTTGTATTACTTATTTGAATTTGTAGAGGTTGCTATATCAGTCATTTGTTTTTGAAAGACCCGACTTAATCTATTTATTATTTAAATCAGGGAATGTAACAGCAAAATGGAAGAAAGTTCTTAATCTTAGTCTTGAACTTTCAATTTGTTATTTCACTGATTCTTTTTTCAGTGTTTTTTGGGGGTTCATATATTGGCCATGTGCACAGTTTGCATTGTTTTTAGATTATGTATCTTTTTAGGAACCTAAACATATCATATTTACTGAAAAATACCTACAATGTATCAGCTTAACTTAAGTTTTTTTTTTACATTTAAATGTTGTAAGCAGCAAATTTTTCGTCCCTTGACAAAAACGAGCTTAAATCAAAGTGAATTACCTTAGTTTATATATACAACTGTGTCTGGGTAAATTAAAAAAAACAATTGGTATAAGAGCGTTAATAACACGTTCAGGAAATAAGTTTATGAAAGTTTATGAAAATTATAAAATGTTGGTATTATACATCTTTTTAGTAAAAAAAAATATAAATTCATTTTCATATTTTTATCTCAAACTAAAATATATTTTTTTAAATACATGTATTATCAATCGATTCAGTAAAAGGTTTATCATGTACATTTATTTTCTTGGACAAAGTAAACTTTATTAAGGTGCCCATATTTGAAGAATTATCGTGGGTAAAAACGAATTACTTTGAGAATTCAGAGATATTTTTGAGCATTTTCAATTCCTCAATGCCTGATTTTCTGAGGATAGTACTTTAAGAAACTTGTAACAAAATTAACATGAACACTTACCTTATTGGACTCTACAAATCTTGATCAATTTTGTATCAGCTATGAATGGAATTTCTACGAGATATTTATACGGAACTCTCCAGCTACGTCCCGTCAATTATAATGGGATTTCATTCAGTTTTGTCGATTATTGCCTGTCATTTAACGAATAAAATATTGCAATAATATGTCATTGTTTTATCTATGACTTCCAGTTATTAGAAAATTTCCATTATTCTTATTATTTTCCTGTATAATAGTTTGATTCGTGGAGTTTTATTTTCAATACAATGAATTTTGGTTTCATAGAGCTCTTACATTATTAAAGTGATTAAAGAAGACGCCTACAGACTTTGAACTAACGGCGCCATGTGCACTTTTTGTTTGTTTATGAAAATGCCCGTATTGTTATACGGTCCGTGTAACACTTAACAATTTAAATTTCTAAAATGATTTAGAGTTTTAGAATGTTAATATATTATTTCAAATTTCAAAATTTCAAAAACTCACACTAATTTGGTATATTGAAATTTAATATTTTAGGTCAAAAATCTAAATTTTAAAATTCCCAAACAGGTTTTAGAATTTTTATATTTTAGATTTTTACCTTAAATGTTCAAAATTCAAATTTCCACAAACAAATTTTGTATTTTAAACTTTTGAGTTTTTAATCTACCGTTTCTTCGGGAAGTTTACGCTTAACAATCTAAAATTTAATAACATTTTTCGTCTTTTGATTATTTAAAATTTACTTCCAACTTTCAAACGTTCAACATTTCAATAACCAAAACACTTCTTACATTTTGAGTTTTTTAGAAGTTTACTTCAGATATCCAAAATATCTAATTCCAAATCTGATTTAAATTTTGAAACTATTTCAAAAACTCTTTTGGTTAAGCAAAAGAGCTTTTAGATAGTTAGAATATTGAACTAATATTCAAAATTCAAATCGGGATTGGAAATTTGATATTTTGGATATTTTGGATATTTAAAGTAAAAATCTAAAACTCAAAGTGTTTTGATTATTTGAAATTTGAATATCTGAATCAAAATACCAAATTTAAAAAAAAACCAAAACGTTTTGAAAGTTGAAATTAAAAAGTTTGAAGTAAATTTAAAATAATTAAAAGACGAAAAATGTTAGTGAACTTTAGATTGTTAAGCGTAAACTTTCTGAACAAACGATAGAATAAAAAGTCAAACGTTTAAAACACAAAAAATCGTTTTAGGAAATTCGAATTTTGATCATTTAGGTAAAAATCTGAATATTAAAATTCTAAAACCTTTTTAGAAATTTGAAAAGTGAGGTTTTTGAACTAAAATATCAAATTTCAATATACAAAATTAGTTTGAGTTTTTTTTTTATTTAAATATTTGAACTAATATGTTAACATTCTAAAACTCAAAAATATTTTAGAAATTTAAATTGTTAAGTGTTACACGGACCTTATACAATTCCAAATTCAAAAATGTTCAAACTTTAACTTCAGAAGTAATTTATCTTTCCGTTTAGAAATTTCTCGGAACATAATTTTAACATTTTCTCTAAAAATAAAATTCTGTCAAATGCTCAAGGATCGGAAAAAATCCGTCGTAATAATTTCTTTGTATTACAGCATCATATTCTTAACAAATCGAATAATAGGCTACATGTTACAAAAAATTAATTTGTATTTTTATTTGAACCGGAGACATTACATCTCATAGGTATACAATATTCATACATAAGATTTGTACAGGCTATACAATATACATGTGTTAATTACATAACAATATCATTTAATTATTATTTAGAACATCATTTCTTAATTGATGAGAAAAGTACAAAAATTTGCCCATGTTACATAGTTCTTTAGTATTTGTAGAACTCAGTAGCTGTACTGATTTAAATACTGATGTTTTTTTTAAATAAAAACTCTTAATATATTTAATTCTAAGTTCTTAATATCGAGGACAATTTGATACAAAATGAAATTCGTCCTCTATCTCACCTGACATACATATTTCACATTTTCTATCTTTTCTTTCTATATTAATATACCTTCCCCTTTCTATTCTTAAATCATGAAGCTGATAGCCTTAAACGACTGATAGGTATTCTATACTTAGAATGTAATGGTTTTCTTAAATAAGTCTGTAGTGCAACATTATCCACTAAATGTTGAAATAGAAAATATTTAGGGGAATTACAAATTCTTTCCATAATTTCTTGTTTATAACAGTCATACATTCTTTGAAATATAATGTTCAGAGTATTATTATCAATACAATAACTATTATACATGTCAGCTAAACCAAGCCTTTGGAATTCCTACTTAATGTTTACAATCCATTCATCATTATTTTCAACCATATCTTGATAACATGCTTGTAATATACAATAATTTCGCCCAGTATTTCAAAATGTTCTTTTTTCTTTCAAGTATAAGTGGAAATCTACCCGATTCACAATAAACTGCATCATTACTGGTGCCTTGTCTGACCTTTAAGACTCTTTTACAATAATTTAAGTGAACATTTTCTATGTCTTGACCCTTGTGAAATCCCCATACTTCAGCTCCATAACTCATAAGTATCGAATACAGCTAATTGTGTTTCTACGTTAAAATGCAAATCCTTGATTTTACTATTTACACCGTACATAGCTTTTTTACCTTGACATGAAAATTTTTTCTGTGTTTCAGTAAATTTTCCATTATAATTAAACAACATACCTAGATAACAACTTCAACATTGCAACCGTTGTATACCCAACGTTCATTTTCAAGTATTCTACGACTATTGCGAAAAATTAATATTTTTGTTTTTTCAACATTAACAATTGCGTATATTGGTACATGTAATTATTGGTCGATGTCCTGTTACTTTTGTAACTAAACTTTTTCCAATTAAAGTTATAATTAAGAAATTAGTTTCATTACAATTGCTTGGCATGGCCTATAATACAGAAGAGTTTAGTACAAATTATTTACAAAAAGAGAACAAATCTTCTAAAGAACTTTTGACTAAATCTAAAAAAAAAAAAAAATGTAGAAAATTCTCAATATTCGCAAATAGCAGTCTCATTTTTAAAGGTATGTCACTCGTGAAATTTCTTTTATACAGGATTTTTTAAAGTATGTTTTGGATATATAATAATAATTGTAATTAAGCCTTTGTTTATCCAGGATGACATACTTTAGCAACAAACGTGTTATGTCTGCTTCTATTTTGTATTGTTTTATGGACTTTTGATCTTGAATACTGTTACTCATATTTTCACACTTTTGTTTGTTTATTTTATTTACACTCAGACCATACAAAGGTATATATGAGGTACAGGAACATATTTACATAATTATATACAAAATACAAAGTCAAGTGAGGAAGAGAAGTATCAATTAAATAGTTATTAAAAGCAGGCCAATATCTTTTTAGCAAACAAAGACAGTTTAATCAGTGAATCAATATTTGTGATGGACATAATTTTCTCAAATTTATAAGTATTTACATGAGAACAATACTTGTTATCAATAAGTTTTACCCGTAAAGACAAAAAAATATGGACACTCCATTACATAGTGAAATTCATCCCCCAAAGTATTTTTGTTACATAAATTACATAATCTTAAAGATCTATCAGTATTAGTCCATCTACCAGATCCGACTGGAAGTTTGTGGTTACAAGTTCTAAATTTTGTTAATACAATTCTTAAGTCTTTTGGGAGTTTACTTAAGATATAGACACTGATTGCAAACAGAGAAAAAATCTTTTAAAGAACTTGAGACGAAGTCTAAAAATGTTATAAAGTTGTTAGAATTTAAATATTTTGTAAAAATGTCTTAAAATATAAAATTTACAACTAAATTAATGTTCGCCTGTGTAAAATAAATAACTTTTACCGCATATTTTTAATTTTAATCGAAGTTTCACAATAATGGAAATTACTTAAAGTGATTAAAAAGTTGACGTATAGACTTATAAGGATGATTGCAGAAAGGTAGAACATATAGGAAGTTTACAATTTTATAATATTTTGAAAATTTTTATTATTCGCATCTTTTACAACTAAAATGGGTCCAAATAATATACCTATCTAGCCATCCCTTTTTGTTTGTATCATCTTTTTCATTCACACTGAACTTGCAACTTTCAGAATTAACATTTTGACCATATTTTTTTAAAACACCCACCTCGGGCTTTTCCAGGTTTTGACTTTATTGACATCTTTTTAATAAAAAAAATATATAACTCGGTACTACACGTAGCACCTTTCATGTCGTGTGGTTGGTCATCTTCAAAGTAATGTTACTTTCAAAACTAATTCATATTCCACATACAAATTGGGTTAAATTGATATCCTCATCGATAAAGATTTTGTGATACAATTTATGTATTTAAAGATCATTTGTATCTTCCAACAGTTTGTTTATTTTCAATAGGAATATATTATGCTCTTTTTTTACCGACCTTTTCTTGTATTCTTATGAAACATATTGCATGTAAAAACTTCATCATGTTTGCTCCACAAATAAATTCGAATATAATTTTATTGAGTAAATGAAAACCTTCAAATACCACTTATACCACCTTCTCTAATGAAACTATTCAGTAGAAAAAACTGATTGTTAAAACTGGAATAGGTATTCATATTGATGACCAAACAAACGTATTTACTTATTGAGGAAGTATATATTATTTAATTTATTTTACCATTTTCTATTATAAGGTTTATTATATATATGTCTTCATGCTTACTGTTTTATGTACAAAATACACTGTATATCGATTGTGGTAGAATGACATTTTTCTTTATTTCTTTATTTTGATAATTTATATCGAAGGAAAATGAAAATGACAGTGGTCTCTCTGCTATGTAAGTATTAAAATCCATATTTATGTAAATACCGCAAAATAAAACAGTTATAAAAGATTGAAATGGGGTAATTTTGCAGGAAAAGGGAAGCTATTTGTATCTACCTTTAGTACTTTTTAGGCGGAAAACTCATATCTACTCAGAAGGTCAAGAAAATATTCATATATTGTCGATTATATCTCTGTCACCCTTCAGAAAGTATCTTTTTGTTATCTGTACTTTATTCTTCGAAGAATGCTTACTAAAATACTCCGCAATTGCTGCAATGATGTTAACCAGGGGCCCGTTTTACAAAAGAACTCACGACTGAGACCGAAAACGTAAGTTGATTGTAAAATTTTGCAAAATGAATGACTCATTTTAGAAATTGTTCGTACTTCGAACTTTTTCTTGCGTATCAAATCAAATCGGAAACAGAAACCCCATATAGAGTTCATAACATTATCATTATTCTTAAGTAAATAAAAGAAATTGACGATACTAAACTAATGAATCGTCACGCTTATCGAAAAGTTTAGTGATGAATTTGCATGCCATTAGTCTACTTCTCTAGTATATTAAACAGTGTAGTGTGTCTAATATATTGTTGTAAAGTATTCCCGAAGCTTCTCCTTCACTGCTGTTAATATTTTATATTAAGGGAATAGTAACACTTAGTAGAACATTTACTGGAACCCTCTATGTATCTTTATTTGTATGGAATTTCGTATATTTTTGGGAGGTGATATACTTGTAAGAAAAACTAAAAGGTGTTCATTTGGTTTATTTAAAATTAGTACTAGCATCATCCATGCATAATTTACATTTGTAATTTTGTATATATTTAAACTATGTTTTAGCTTTATTCATAAAAAAGTCTAATATTTCCATGTAAAGTAAATGAAACTTACTGAATAGACGCTTTTTGGCTATGTGTAACGTTTTATTGCCATCATTTCAAAGACATCTTAGAGACTGACGTGTCCGTTTCAAATCTTGATATGACTTCAATACTACTAGTAGTATATTTAAGAGCACATTCGTTATAATATTTATGTCAATTTGTCATTATCTCCTGCATGTATGGAATTTTGTCTCCCACTTAATTCTGTGTGCAATAGCATGTTCTGCAAACTTCTTATAAATGAAACGAACTATTCACAAATATGTTCATTTATGACAAAATGAAAGTTACAGTCTCGATTAAAGTCAATACAATTTTCGAAAATTCTATAATCCATCCAATGACCTTTTCAGTAAATTCAATCCATCATAAAATGGAAACACAATTTTACCAATATCCTTTAAATCAAAACGTAACGTACGACTTTTCAACTCTTTGTATAATATTCCTTATGATACATTAAAGACGAGGGCTTTTGACATTATAGCTGCTTTTTCAATAACCTTGTCATTGATCATTTGCAAATTGTTTCTAAAAATCATTCTGATTATACTGCTATGTACTCTGAAGTTGATACATGTACTAAAAAGATGCTCGAGTTTCGACAATACATATATCAATGTAATTTTTTGAAATAAGATGGGATAATGGCATAACAATCAGTATGAAAAAACAGTCAGCATTTTATTTTATGATAATTTTATTTGCTGACAAGGTCATTGTATCGACCAGGCACAGAACTTACGAAATGATGACTTTAAACGAGACAGCTGAAATTCTTGTTTCATCAACCTGTTTGTCAAAAATTTACCTCGTTTTAGAATTTGTTCATAAGAAGAGCACGTTCTTGTGTATCGAATCAACTGAGATATTTAAACTCCGTATGCAGGTGATGAAGGTATTTTGCTGCATAAGTAAGGGAAGTTGATAATAGAAAAATTATAGTCATCACGTTTATCGTAGAGCTTTTTTTAGATTACCGTTAACGTCTTTTTCAAGTAAAATATCCAAGTATGAAACAGATGTGGCAGAATCTGTGGTATCTTTAATCTCAAGCTCACCAGGATATATCGTGTTAACATAAGAATGAAAATCACTATTGTTTATTGACAATATGCCGTCGATATATCTAAATGTCGAGTTGAAGGCTACAGCAAGTGTTTTATTCTTTTCATTCAAGATTTTGAAATAATTCTGCTTCATATGAATACAAAAATAGGTCTGCTAATATCGGAGCACAATGGTACCCATTAAAATTCAAATAGATTGTTGAAAGACATAGTCTACAAAAACAACATAGATTTTGTCAATCAGAAACTCGAGCATCTTTTTAATATCAACTTCAGAGTACTTGTATGTTCAATCAGAATGTTTGAAACAAAGTAGTTTTGCAAATGATCAATGACAAGGTAAGCAAATTTACGAGTTCCATTTTTGTCTGTGAAAATTTCATAAACTTTTTAATAAATACAAGACATTAATATGAGAAGAATCCTACCTTAATATAATTATATCTTTGCAACGAGTAAAGAAAGAGGCTTGGTAAAACATTAACTGGAACCAGCTATATATCTTTGTTTTATGATAAGGGACTAAACTTTCAAAATATATCAAATAAAAGACTAAAACTTTTTTTTTTCATAAGCCTTCTGTATTTTTTCTCTCTAAGTAAACGATCAAAACCTTTTATTTTTGTATCATTTTGTACATTAAGACTACTTTATTATATATATGTGAAAATAAGAAAAAGTTAAATATAGGAAGCATGTGAAAATAAGTAATATATCCCAAAAAAATTAAGAAAAACAGAGAAAATTCGGATTAGGCAATATCCAGTTTAGTGAAATTATTTATGTAAATTTGGTAATATCATACTATAGACCTAATGTAGTAGTATCTTTTTAGGCAAAAAGAACAATCTTTAAACTTTTGAAATAGAAGTAGCATCACAAGATTGGAAAAGTATTTTTTTTATTCTTTATGTCAAGTAAAAAGATAATGACTTTCTGAATTCTGTGAAAATTTTTAACTTTTAAATACAAGAAAATGAATCCTACCTTAATATATATCTTTGTAAAGAAAGAGGCTTGGTAAAAAAAAACATACAATTAAAGCATAGCTTGCGGGGCAAACTTGGAAGAAAAAAAATATACTTTAACCTGACAAATTTATAAAGGATTAATAGACATTTATGTCATTAAGAGTTATCACTCTTATCAAAGTATCGATGAATCTTAAATATCAAGATTTACATTTAGACGACGTATTATCAATTAACAATACGTAGTTAGTCTTTATCACGTGTTGATGTATCCCAAAGATCTTGATATAAATAAAGACACCAAAGTATTTAACACATCAAATTCATATTTTACTAGATATTACGGAAATGGTTACCTTAAGGCCAAGCTTTCTGATAAACGTGAATTTCTCAACTTTTTTATCGTCAACTTCCTTACTTATTTAGCACTATGCCATTTTCTCCTGCACATAGCTTTTATGTCCTTAGTTGATTCGATAAGCAAGAGCATGCTCAAATATAAACAATTTCTAAACGATGCAAGCTATAGCTATACAAACAAGTTGATAAAACAAGAATATCAATAGTCTTGTTTGAAGTCATCGTTTCGCAAGTTCTATGGCCGATACAAAGATCTTGTCAGCAAATATAATCTATCAATAAGTCAAATGCTGACTGAAGTTTTTCATACTAACTGTTTATGCATTATTCACACCTTGAAGTGTCCTTTATTTTAATCATGACAATGAGCACAATGGTGGGTGTGACCAGTTGGCCGGGGATGCTCACTCCTCAATGGTAACTGGTCCAACCTCTGTTGTTTTAAAGGTCTGTATTTCCTCTGCTAATTTTATGTATTGTTGAATGGACGTTTAATCTTGAATACTGTTCAAGACATCTCCATTTATTTCAAAGAAATGTTAAGGCCGGTATACACGGTAAGATTTGTATTATAAGATTTGTATTATAATAAAAAATCTTACTGTGTATACACTCTTAATACAGTGTATCATACGATTTTTCGAATCTTGTAAAACTGTATTAAGAATAGGGCAATGCATGCTCTATTTCTTAATACAAGTCTTAGCTTACCTTTCACTTTCAACCAATCAAATATACTCCCATTGGGGTCATCCTATTCATATCATTACTTAAAAAAGCACAATTGGTAAATAATAATGGTCGACTTTACGAGTAAAGACATCGAAAAACTCGTGGTTTTATGGGAAGGGGAAGAGAACTTGTAGAATAGATCAAGCGGTAGAGATCCGGGTTAGAATAGGTCCTCAGTACCCCCTTGCTTGTCGTAAAAGGCGAGGCCCCGTGTCACAGCAGGTGTGGCACGATAAAGATCCCTCCCTGCTCAAAGGCCGCAAGTGCCGAGCAAAGGCCCAAATTTGCAGCCCTTCACCGGCAATGGTGACGTCTCCATATCAATGAAATATTCTGGAGAGGGACGTTAAACAGTATAGAATCAATCAATCAATCCACAAAAAAGATGCTAGAAGCAGAGCTTATTATCATAATTTTTATTATTTTAAAAGAGAAAGAAATATGGCAGGAGAAAACACGTGGGAATAATAGTTTATTTACAATCTTATAAGATATGCATTAGCATGTGTACAAGAAAGTATTATAATACAAAAGTATTATAATAATTGTATCACACTACAAATCTCATCGTGTATACCGGCCTTTAGGCCATTCACTATATTTTAAACACTGAATCATGTTTGTACATGTAGGATCATGTCAAGCAGGTGTGGACAGTCATCTTGTAAGGTTTACCCCTCCATGGCACCTGATCCCACCTCTGATATACTTAGAGGTCCTTGTTTCATCTATTCCAAATTAAAATTGTTCCAAATAAATGAACTTTTTAGCTTAATAACTCACCATTTTCACACTCATAGTCCACTCACTCAGATATACTGTGACTATATTGAATTTTTTCCAGGTTTATCCCCCTGTTCATGATTATGATTTTTACCAAAAGAATCTAAATTTTTATAATTAAAATTCCTACAATTTCAGCATACTTCTAGATGCAAAACTAAATAGAAAAATTCTGATTTATAATTTTATAACTGAAGTTAAAAAGTAATTTATATAAGAGTTATCTCTCTTATAACAGAATCAATGGACCTTAACATTCAATTTTCTGAATGGTTACATGTAGCATTTAATTTGTATATTAAAATCTGTCTTAATGTGTGAATATCAATGTCTGTCAAGAAATAACTCTCATAATATTTTTCAGAATCACAAAATTTATTCTCCAGTAAAAGGCATTTAGCAAAAACAAACATTTGTAAGGAATGTATATGATTAACAAAGAAATCACTCAGCACTTATAAAGCAGGAATGGAATTGCTGAACACAACAAATTTTAAACATCTGAATATAATCAAAAACAAAGAACATGGTTAAGTAGATCATTGTCAACATGACAAAGTGAGGAACTTACACATATAGGTCAAACTCTTTGTAATTGTTACACCATATAAGTCAAACCATATATATTTATCTGCATGATAAGCAAACATTTCTCAGCTATTAATTTGTAGTTTTGGACATGATTTTAATTTTAACTTTCTAGGACAAGAGATTTTATTCCTAAATAGAGATTTTTTCACTTTTTAAAAACATATACAAAACATCTACTCTATATACATGCTCATGTATATTTTGTAAAACAAATATTGTTTAATCAAAGAAAAAAAAAAAATAAAGATCTTCTTCTTGATTTTAAAACATTTTAAAAAATAATACAAAATATCTATAAAAGGTTAATAAAATGTAAAATCACAATCTATTAGTGACAAATAATCTTCTAAATACTTAAAAAAAAAAGGGGAAAAGTAAAAAATAAGCATATTGCGTAAAATTAATTCTGACATGGTAAATTGATTGTAAATTAATAAATCAAAAACAATTTAAGTACATGTATATAAGATACAATTAATAAACTGCAAATTAAATCAAAGATATATGAAAATATTTGAAGCACTAGGCTCGCTATAAAATAAGAACTCAAAATGTTTCCTGTAGGCTGTGCCTGTATCTTACCAAACACTGAACTTCTAAAGCACAATATTCACATTTTCTTTGATGTGTACAAAGCCTGGGATCTAGGAAAGAAACTGAATGAATTAAGTCCTTATAAGTCCATATAAACCAAACATACTTCAATCAATACATGCTATATATTTCAGACTGCAAATTTCCTATCTTCCTTATTTTCAAGATTTCAATACAGAAAGATTACACATCTTTGGCATTTATAATTTTTAAAATTTATCCTAAAGGTATATAAAATTCATGGTCAAAAAAATCTTCCTTTCAAAGAGATAACATTATGAGTTTTAATACTTAATTTATACAACCTTTACATAGGACACCAGAAACATTTTGTACCAGTCACCTTGTCTACTTTTGCCTACTATAGACACACTATTATGTGTTCTGTGAACATTAACTGACTAAAGCCGACTAAGAAGCAAATCTGCCTTTGTCATCCCTACAAGTTATAGTCACTAACTTAAGCTGATTGCACTAATTTATTGTTATTGTCATAAGCCGACTCAAAACATTCCTCAAATTATTGTCAATGACTTCAGCAGTCTCAGAACTCTATCTGTCTTTGTTTTTCAATGCTTTATCTAAGTTACTGTCATTGTAAAAAGATGACCCAAAAGTAAATCACTACATTACCGAAGTTACTGCCACTGCATCGGGTTCACGTCATTGACATCAGGAGTATTAATCTATACAGGGGACTAAAATGTTGGAATCCAATTCCTCTCATTCACAATTCAGACTGTTCATACTGTGTTTACGAATCTCTTTTGAGAGATACTTTAACATTAAGTAGACATAAGCTACATGAATCTCGCACTCTTACTCATTTAACCACTTAAGTAACATAAATATACACATACAAAATCAAAATGTGATGCTCATTAACATGACAAATGGGACTCAGTTTATCCATTAATCATTAATAATATATATAATAATTATTCACACAGCAGTTCAACTTTGTGGACATTTTCAACTTCCAAAATCACATGAATTTAATTCATTCAAGATCAACATAAATTGTTAAAAATTTCACAACAGTACAGTGTATTGAATATGAAACTGAAGTACATTATATTTATGATACATGTTAGTGCAGGTTTGAAAATCATACACTTCACAACAAACCAATACCTATTTATTATTAACACTCAAGTATCTGAGAACGAAAGGGACATTGTGATGGGTGTTTACATTTACAAATGACCTGTGATACTTCAAATTATTAAGACAACCCCTTATATAATCAAGTTTTTGAGATGGTCCCTCACACTAAAGATGCCACACTGTAGGACACTTTTTGAGATGGTCCCTCACACTAACGATGCCACATTGTACGCCACTTTGTTGGGGTTTTTAAGGCCAGACAACTGACAGTCTTTGTAGAGACTTTGTCCATTCAGAATCAGCAGAGTGTCTTTTGATGGTGTGGCAAAGTACCTGCTGAAATAATCTCCTCCAATCACTGCACGGGAAACTTGAGTGAAAGAGTTCAAAGACATCTGGGGTTCTCCGATGTCTAAAATTAGAACATCATACAAAATATACTTAACTCTTTTATTCCAAACAAGACAAAATATATTTACACAAAAAAGTCACAAGGCATTTGATAGAAAGATTCATGCAATTTTTTTCTCGTAACCCCTTAGGAAAAGGATGAGGTCCTTCTTTTGATCAAATTAAATTTCCTTCATCAAAAGATACTGTTTCCAATTTTTGTTTGAAATTAGTCCAGTGAATATGGAGGTGAAACTGTAAAAATTTTACAAGTTGTTAGTTAAGTCAAAATTTGGTCAAGTCACACGTTTTGTGAAAATCCCGGGATCACTCGATCTTAAACGCGTATATTATAGACATAGGCTTGGGAAAAATGCATTTAGTTACTGGTTTTCCAGTGGCATAAGAAATTTAAGAAAAACAGAACTTCCATGGACGTTGATAAAAAGTGTGGTCACTTTTTAGAGGCTCTGTTTAACTACGTATCCCCCTAGGCAAATTTAAAGCGTTAATGGACGTTGTCGGCTGCCGTTCAACAACAGACAATGAACATTTTTATCATATATAATATATTTTAAATTGATTGGCAAGTAAATAACTTGCTAGACACAAGGGTGATTAAAGACTCTCAATCCTTGGAAATACACACTGAAATGAGACTTAACTTTTTTGGTAAGGCAAATAAAAGGCGTACCTTTCAGTGTGGTCATCTTTCCATTGTCTAGTTGTATGGAGTAGATCTCGGGCAGTTCTTGTGATGTCATGACAACTTTGTAACCATGACCTTGGTTTGATGGGAAAAAGGTCACATCACTGACCTTAGAATCAACTATAACTTCTGTCATCTTGGAGATTTCTCCTGAAAATGCATATCCAAAAAAAATTGTAGTTTTTTATTATTTGTATTTCTAAATCTATTTGCTTATCCAATTATTTAGACTATATAGAAATGTACATGTAGTAAGATTATACATTAAAAAATAAAATGTCTTATAATTATTTCCAACACAAATAATGTTGGAATCCTTTTTCTTTTGATATTCTGTATTATTTTTCTTTATATTGTAGAAGCGTATGGTCCATAAACAGAACCTTTTTTTAATCATTCCCCCTACTTACCCTTCCCCGTGACCTTGGCAATGTTGACCTTCCCTGTTTGTTTGTCTACAGTCACAATATTCTTGGAATCTGGAGATACATATGGGGTACCAGACAGAGTAACATTAGAGACAGGTGTGTCAGTTATGTAGTCTATTAAGATCTGCAGGGTCTTAGAACCACTGGGGGTGGATTGTAGGCATTCCACAACAATATGTCCCCCTGAAATAGAAATTCAAAATGAACTCACATTGTTCCTTCCTGGATGATTCTGTTAATTTTCCCTAGCCTAAAAAGTAAAGGCATTAAGTTTGTTGATACACTTTAGTTAATTTCCATAAATCTTTAAGTAAACACTATAAATGTTCACAAAGTCAAATCTCATTTTGATCTTAAGCACCATTGTGTATTTGACTGGACAGTATATTTAAACATTTTTCATGAAAAAGGAGAGAAATGGTATAAATGGTCACAAGAGTGATAGAGGAAAGAAACTTCATCAATCATGGGTATTGGGGACAAATGATTTTTTTCTTAGGCCATTACCAGGATATTACCAGATGTCTACTGACAGAAATAGAGTATTAAGAATTCTTTTAGAGTGATGAGCAATACAGCATCATATTTCATAGTTTGAGTATTGAGTTTTATTATTCTACCATAAAAACTAACCCTGTCACTAGAGGCTTACCAAGGGGTATGAAGGCGACCTCCTGTGGTACACAGTTAAAGACGTCCAGATCTACAGCCTTAGTGTACCTCATAGACTCCAGCTCCAACTTAAACATGCTGTGCTGGTCCCGGTGAATGACATATCCATACTGCTGGTTGTGATGGAGGTCATTGGCGGGTGGTAAGAACATGTCTTGTACCTGAATAAAAATATACATTCAATATGTACTTCTTTGGAGAATTATGTGTTTTGAAAAATTTTCCAGATTTGACATCAAAACAAGGTGATCAATTTTTTGTAATGATTTTTTAAAACATTTAACAATTCAGCATCATAATTTAGCTATGTAAAGTAGAGATTAGCTAATTATAACAGGTATAATTTTTAATTTTAAGAGTCGAAAATATATCAAGTTATCCCCCCTCCCAAAAAAATTACAATTAGATTAATTTGTTAAAATAAACCAACAGCATACTATAATCATTTTAGCTTGCAAAAAATTTTTGCTCATAAACAGAATGTTTCTCGTCATTATAAAATAAAACCAAATAAATTCTCAGCAAATTTTGTTCTATAATGTTGACACATCCAATATATTCATGCTATGTTTATTCCTTACCAGATGAAATTTGTATCCAACAGGCTGAGTGTGGACCATACGATGTCGCAAGTCTGAACTGGCATCTCTAATTACGACAACGGTTTTACTTCCTGTGTCTGTCTCAGAGTTCCAGCATAAAACCCAGACCTCGTCCAAATGTTCTACGTAGTATAGTTTTGTTGGAAACTGGTCGGTGTTGATAAACTAACAAATAAAAATGAAACCTCAGTTGACTTGTGAAAAAAAGTTAAATCAGTAGTCACTCTTCCACAATTTTCTTTACTTATCATCCACTTATTGGTATTAATCTATCTATGAGGTCAAAGCATTCTTATATCAGGTATGTATATATGTTATGGGACAATATTGTTCCAATAAAGTGAACAAAATGTTTAAAATAAATAAAAATTGCATTCAAGAGAGAATATGACAGTATTTCCAATATACTGACCTCTACTGGGTTCATTGTTTCGGCCGAGTCTATGACCACCACTCTGTGCTCGCTCGGCTGAGCTATATATAGAAACTTGTTCCTGACGTTGACCACCTGTCCCCAGACACAATCCTTCCTCTGGTCACACAGGTAGATGGGCCCGTCCAGCTCCTCAGGTATGTACTTCAGGTGTCCGAAGCTGCTGTGGACCTGTCGCTTGGTGTAACAGCCGCTGGGGTTATAGGCGCTGTAGCCAGTCTGGTGAAACACAAAGAAGGTCTCCTGTCTGGTGGTCTGCTTACCGTACACTGAAAGACAGCAGCATTGAGGCAAGGATACATTTGAAATAAAATTGCTTCTTTGAATTTATAAAAGTTGCAAGATTACTTTAGTGAAGTACAACTTAAAAGATTTCCAATAATCTTTAAAATGCCTTATACTCAGATCATTAACACTTTATCCTTACATGCTATTTTTTAGTTTGGAAGTCATAAATTAATTGTAAATGAGTGAGTCTACCTATGGCAATAGGTAAATAGCTACATTTAATAGTTGGGTTTTACAGATAACCAGGAAGCTTACATTTTTCGGTCTGGTTCGGTTTCTGAATGTATAACATGGCTATATCCTGACTGCTGCCAGCTGGGTTTGTGGCCACACATTTATACGCTCCCGAGTCTCTCTGGTAATTAGAGTCCTTAATGATCAGAGTCCCATTCTCATCTACAATATTGAAACAGAATTAATTCCTTTAATTCTTTTATATTTTCAAATTGGAATACATTAGATTTATTCCCCTTTGTATTTTGGATTTTAATCTCAATATCTAGCTACAGTTTTCTTGATATTTCTGTTTCTGATATAAAAAGAAGTGCAGTAAATAGTTTAGTAAATGCACTGCAGCATTTGGAGTCATATGAAGTGCCAGCACTTATTTGTTTTTTCTACAGCTGACCAATTGAGAACCAAAAAAAAAAAATACTGTAAACCAACTTTTATTAGCATGTGAGAAATTTTCATGATGTTCTGGCGTAGTGATCGCGAATATTTCTTGCCGAGAACTGATCGCGAATATTTCTAAATGCAAAGTGGTCCTTAAGGGGGGACCTATGTCGTTCTACGTCAAGGCAGCGTTATGTGACGTCACAATAGCGACGTTTGTTTTTACCTGTTGACTTTTGCAACGGTGATATAGGGATAACATTGTTGATAATCAATAACATACACAATTTACAAAAAGAAAATTTATTCATCATTAATAACAGTTTTATTTGATTTATAGAGTTTGTTAATATTAGAATTATCTTCCTTTGGTTGATAATTCATAGCAATTTCTGTTGTGAAAGAATACCTGGATATGCTAGCGCAAAAAGAGACAGAATTCAGCAAAGAAAGCGGCTTAAATCAGGGAAATATGTTTAATTTTATAATTACCATTAATCGATTTTCTGGAGAAAACTAAGAGAAATTTTTAGAAATGTACTTGTACAGGTGTATATTTGCTTATTTATTTATAGTACATGTAGATTTTATAGTATAAATTAATTTCTAGGTTCTAATAGGTGTTGTTGAAGGGGAAATGAAGGGAGTGGGGAGAAACAGAATGAATGGAATGAAGAAGAAAATTTATCTGTTTAAATTGTTTCTAATAAAAAGAAAATACTCGTTTTTTGCAAAATATTTTTATATTCAGATGTTTGTCAGTGCTTACTTACCCTTTTAAGTGCAGAAAGGTCAATATTTATGACACAAGAGTATAAAAATAAAAGAAAACGTCATATTTCTCGTTTATTTTATCATAAAGGTATACTTTTTTCTTTGTTAAAATAAAGAAATGAACCATCTCTTTAAAAAAATATGAATTACAACATTTTCACACAAAGACTTTTCAAGATATTACCTGTTACGCATGTCAGAATTGTAAAAAATACGACAAGAAAAATGGGGTGATACTTACATTGTGCTCCATTATAATTTTTCATGCGGGATGAATTTCAATGAATTTGGCTCCATTTTAAAGATACAAGTCATATGAATTAAATAAGTGTTGAATTTGAATATGATTTGACATTTTTGGTTCTTTTTAGCGCATATTTGGGGTAGAACAATAATGTCTGAAGATAATCTATTTTTAGCATTTCACACTGTTTTTGCACGTGCTCCTGTGTAAAAATTAGCATATAAAGGTATTGTTTTTAATACCTAAAATTTAAGAGCAAGTGGTCAGGAAAGAAATGTCAAAGTTTTGAAAATTTCACACAAAGACTTTTCAGACATAGGTCCCCCCTTAAAGCCTATGTGTTTATTAACAATAGATCCAAAACAAGGTTTGATTGTGAAAATTAGTTGTTGTGAAGTACTTCACTTGCGGTAAATCGCGAAATAAAGTCGTCACGAATAAAAGTTGGTTTACAGTAAACTTGATGCATGGACTGAATTTAGAACATACGAATTCTGGCGTAGTGATCTGGAGAGGCTGGGATGACCTTGTCGTTGAACTGCCACTGGATGGTGGGGGGTGGAATTCCTACTCCCTGACAGTGAAGGTGAATGTCCACTCCACTCACCGGTAACATCATAGAGGAGGGGGACACCTTAACGATGGGCGGGACTGAAAAAAGAAAGCTTTATATAGCACATAACATCACAGAGGAGGGTGATACCTTAACAATGGGCAGGACTGAAAGAGGAATGCTTTACATAGCACATAACATCATAGAGGAGGGGGACACCTTAACAGTGGGAGGGACTGAAAAAGGAAAGCTTTATATAGCACATAACATCATAGAGGAGGGAGACACATTAACAGTGGGCAGGACTGAAAGAGGAAAGCTTCATATAGCACATAACATTATAGAGGAGGAGGACACCTTAACAATGGGCGGGACTGAAAGAGGAAAGCTTCATATAGCACATAACATTATAGAGGAGGGGGACACCTTAACAGTGGGAGGGACTGAAAAAGGAAAGCTTTATATAGCACATAACACCATAGATGAAGGGGACATCTTAACAATGGGCAGGACTGAAAGAGGAAAGCTTTATATAGCACATAACATCATAGAGGAGGGAGACACCTTAACAGTGGGCGGGACTGAAAGAGGAAAGCTTTATATAGAACACTGAAGGTAAATTCCTTTTCATCAAATGAACATCAAACTTTTCACACAAGATTCAATGTATTGTAGAATAATACAAGTCAAAAACTTTATTGAAGTAACTGTCTTTTACAAAAGATTGAAATTTACCATCTTTTAAAATATATCTTTTTTAAATAAAAATTGACCATTTCATTATATTTTCAAAAAAAAAAAAATTTTCATGGTTAACATTTGAGTTTTAACTAAAATGGTTTGAGGAGCCTAACTCAGTGTACTCACCGTTAACTTTTAACTCATGGACTTGTTTGAATCCTGGTCTGTACTGGTCGTAACAAGTCCAGTTTCCAATGTGATGGATGCCTACGTTCTCAAAGTATAACGTCCCATCAGAGAAAACCTGAAATACATGGGACTCAGCGGTTAAGGATACTAAGGAGTATTTAATCAATTTTCTGGTGAAAAATTAGACAATTCAAGAGAGAATTTTACATGCAGAAATAAAGCTGCAAAAAAAAAAAGAAAGAAAGAAAAGAAAATTGTTCAATTATATTTTTTTTATAGAATTGTAAAAGGAATTTTGCTCAAGAATTACTAATTTTTTTAATTTTCAAATCTACTGTGGAAAGCTTCATGTAGTGACAACAATAAGTGTGAAACCAATAAGCCATTAATTTCCACACAGATGTTTTTATGGCGTTGACATAACAATATTTTCTTCTGAAACATTATGCTGCAATAAACTAAAGTGAAAAAGATGTGTTTGTGAATTTAATGAGAGACTTACAGCGATTCCTGGAAAGGCTACTGTCTCTAGGTCTGTGTTGTGTCGGTTCCAGATAATGTGGGAATTCTCAGAGGATGGGGAAATTCCACACCGCAGCTCCAGTCCATTACCAACCGTCGCTAATGTTGGCACCTCCTGAAACTCCTCCTCAAAAGCAGCTATCTCTAAATCTGACAAACAGTTTAATTGCTTAAGAGTTTTTCTATGTTATAGATTGCAAATTCTTCATACTTCTTTTCTTTTAGTTACAGACATACATTATAAGCCTACTATGAGTTAATTCTTTATGTCCTAAGTCTTCTATCTCAACTAATCAATATCTTTATAACTGCTTCTCTGTATGATTTTTGATGAATTTCTTTTCTTGTTAAAAACAATGTACATATACATTATGTATTACCAAATGCCTTGAGGAATTCATCTTCTTGGATTTCATCGTCCTGAATGTTTTCAAATCTGAACATGTCCATGAGGGAGCACGAGGCAAACATGCGTTGAAACGGTTCTGTGACCCAGATGTCCCATAATTCATCTCGTATGATTTTGTTGTCCATGTTCTTGTCATAGTAACTAAACATCAAGGAGGCCAAGTAATCCCTCTCTGTTACGATATCAATTATTAAGATTAGGTCAGTGCTGCATTTCCATTTATTTTGGGGGATGAAGGGTGGTATGGTTTTCCACAAATACATGTAGATATAAATATACCCATTTCTTTTACCTATGACTACATATAAGAACTATGCTTGATATCTAGACCAGTAGCCACTTACTGCCATAGAGAGCTGTCGGGGAGCAGTCCTTCTCCTGGAAGCGGACACAGTGGTACCTGAGGATGTCTGCCTTCATCTTGACGTACTCCTGGGTCGTACACAAATCAGAAAACATGGCCTCCTCCACTCTGTCCTTCAGGGTCTTGGGATCCAGGGCGTTGTCATACTGTCCCTTCTCTGTTGGTTGTTTAGAGGTGACCTTCTCCAGGCTAAGTTTTATTTCTGGCTCTTTCTGGTTCTGGTCTGGTTTTTCTGATGGTAGAATTACACCAGTTTTATCTTCATCCTTTACTGTCAGGTGTGCCTTGAGTTGTGCCTTGCCATCTGGTCTTTTGACTCGGTGTAGTGTTGGCTCTCTTTCAGTAGATACACCTGACAAAAAGATTCATATATATTAAAAATTAACTAAGTAACTGTGCTGAAGGACTTAAAGCATATAAACACAAAAGACAAAATCATAGAAGTTGTCTTAAGGACAGCTGCATAATTTCTCACATGCTTTTAACTATCTTAAAACTGCTGTCTATTGGCTAAAGAAAATATTTTGCAAATCTTTTTTTTTTAACAAAATTTAAATTTTGTTCTGATGTTGATGTTAAATTTAATGACAAATGATATATTATAGCTCCTTGTCAAATCAAAGTGATGATTTTACCCTTTGTCTCCCCACAATCCCTCTTGATGTAATTAACAGACTTCTGAGTTATACAGGATTCCTGGTTATAGAGGTGACAGTCCCCAGTGTTGTAGTCGTACTTAATGGCTATGCAGTCCTCACAGCTGTCACGACAGTCCTCAAACGAACTGATCTTGTTAGATCTGATCTCACAGGGAGCCGAGGCTGGAAGCTGGACCTCGTGGTAGGAACAGTCTAAGATGGGAACATGAGGTAAAAATATAAACATTGATTTTGTCAAAGAATATCTGACACATTTTGCTGTTTAACCATGTTAACTATGTATAGGGAATTTTGCTACAACAATTCTTTTTAATTGCAATCTGTTTTCAGGCAAAAATTCTTTGTCTTCTATACTTCAATTTTTTATTAATATTCTTCAAATTAAAATATTTTTTACACAGTTTTATGCAAGTACTAAAAACCAATTCTACAATTATAAATCATAATTTCACTTGATCAGAAACCTAACCTTCTGGGTTAGCACATCTCCTGACATAGTAATTCTCTCGTCCCTTTTCTAACATCTCTATACAGGATTTGTCAAAGTAGATTTCACAGAAGCCATTGTTGAGGAACTTAAATGCCTCACAGTGTCCACGGAGACAGGTGTCATGGCAGTCCAGGAGCGTGGACAGCGTACTGGTGGCCTTACTGCACATGTACGGTGACCTCCCAGGGGTCACCTCCAAAACATGGCAGCTAGAGTTGGTCTCTGTAAAGGAAGAGAATCTTTTAAATTTTATCGTAGTAGTTTTTAGAAGTACATGTAGTTGTTAAGCATGAAAATCAGCCATCGCAACTTTAGGTATTGTTAAGAAACATACATGTACTCCTAGATCCAATTGTCAAAATCTAAAAATTCCATCAAAACCTTTCCTAATGCCAAAACCTTTTGAAAGGCTTATGAAAACTATTTCAATTTTACCAATTAACCCAGTCAATTCAAAGTGATATTATAGATTTCTCATGGTCAGTCCCTTTTGTGTTTACTTAAATAATGAAATTCGAAAAAGTTTTGCAATGAAACACATTCGTTATATTTCTGATTCTTACAAAAGACCAACGAGGAACCCATGGGATTTCTCTCTGTTATACCGCATTCAAGGCAGTATAGAGGGAGAGAAAACCTGTGATTCCCACGATGACAAAAGACTTGTTTTTTCAAATTAAAGTGTTAATGAACTACCTGAGCAAATCATGTACAGGAGTTAAGATTTTAAATGAATTATTTTTTCAAGTCAAGTTCAAGTTTTTGTCTTTATCAATGTTGATATTTTTCTTTTCAATAAATATAGCTTTAATTCCATTTTCCCTATCATACTTAAAATTCAACAGTAAGAGAAAAATGTTTGTTACTCAAAGATAAATTTTATTAAAAAATTTGCAAATAACTTGTATACCCGGTATATCTTATATATTTTTGCACTTGGATTGGAACTTCCCTTATCATTATACATAATTCAAAGTACCTTAAAAACTCTTCATTGATTTTACATAAAATGTTTGAAGCAGTTGTGCATTAGGAAAAATTCCTCTGCAACAATTAATATTGATTTTTAAAAATAGCTTTAAGATGTACCGGCCGGGTTATATATGGGGGGGGGGAAATATAACTATATTGTTTTCCCTGGATCCTGTGGATTTCTGACAGGATTAAAAGAAATTTATATTATCTTCATGCAATAACATATACAGACATTATTTAAAGAATTCATTGCTTTTATCAACAGAAAGTTTTCTTATGGAAGTAACCAATTTTCAGAAGTTGTTGACATTTTCCCAATTATCAACACGTGAAAACTTGTTGAAATGAGAAACGAAAAGAAATCTCATAGTATGGCAAGAGAATATATATCTAATGTATATGCAGCAATGTAATAAAATTCACAATCTAGATCCTTTAAGTTTATTGTATAGATTTTTACATCTAGATATTTAACACTTTAGGTTTTATATAGGAAAACTAGACAGATTACACTAGAATAAAGGTTCTCTCATATACTTTATGCACTATTTCATCATGTCTTTAATGTAAATATATGGTTAGGAAATCAGATTTTTTTCCCTTTCAAATGCAGTAAGCCTGTCTGCAGTGCAGTTACATCAATTATTCAATCCCAGTGAAAATAGTGGAACATATTTTGAAACAAACTTGCAAGTTCCCACTTTTGATCAATTCAATGCACTGCAGCGTGCAAAATTATTGTGTTATACAAGTACTTAGCATCTAGTTCAGCAATAATTCAGGCTAATTCCTACCATGGGAAGACTGGCTGAACATGCATGAGAAGAATTACTGCTGAAACCCAACATGTAACATAAAACGTCTTTCATTCTCTCTATTTTGATCTATTCCCTAAAAGACTTTGCTACACAAGGGAAATTATTTTCCATGCTGTGTAATTTCTGTTTAAGTCAGAAGCCTGTTTCTAAGAAAACAGAATCAGGTGACTATAAATATATCTGCACTGTACACTAAGAACTGTAGTCACTTTCATTTGAACTTGAGTTAAAAAACTTAAAATTCTTAATGTTATAAAGAGTATGAGAAGATTTACTCTGGGTTGTATTCTATACATCCCACCATTTGGCCTCATGGTCTATGAAATAAAACCTGGGGCAAAGTTCTTTTATGACATTGCCTGTATTATGGCAGTGTATGATGTAGTGGATCCCCCCTGTATTTACAAGTTTTATGACAGTGCTTGTTATAGTGAATTTCGCCCTCCACACCTTATGGCAGTGTTTGATGCAGTGATTTTGCTCCCCTTTTAAAGTGAATATTGCCCCAATCACCTTAACTTACCTGTACATATACTGTAAATCACTTTTTATTCATGAGAACTTTATTTTCGCGCAATTACGCGAGATGGTATGCTCGCGAAAATTTCATTCTCGCGTATAATAGGATTCCTTAAGAATATACAGAGCAATGACCAAAATTCGAGGTCAGGGCAGGTCATCGAGTGGGCCAGGTCTCGGGTCCTTATTTCACCATGTTGACCTCACAAGGGGTAATTAATTGTTTTATTATACCAATATATATTGAAAAGTATGAATTTCTAACCGTTATCAATTCTTTCTTTGATCGGGATCGGGATTCACTACAGACCGGATAGCGAAGTTGTTTACATTGACGTCTGCAAGTCGTGTAAGTTTTTGCATCATGATTTACTGATTAAAACAATATTTAGTTGATAGCTACATACATTGTTAAAGCTAACGATTACTTTTCCTCTACACAGTCAAAATCTTACACAGAATTCGACTCTTTAAAGAGCTGCCTCTACATTCTATTGAACTGAATTGTAACGATATATTGAAACGATATATTCATAATATTGTATTAAATGATAAAATTTTACCGTATTCTGTATAGTAATGCAAAACAGACCGTGCACAATTTTAAAAAATGTTTTTTTTTTCCAATAATTAATATTTTATGCATTAACTTCATTCAAAAACGAATTTTTGATTAAGCGGTCATTTTTAGCGGTCATTAAAAATAATGACCGTGTCATTATATCCCACGTGCAATGATTCCTAGGTCAGTATTGCTGTAAACAGTACCATTTGGAGTCATTGTTGTGTTTTAAAGTTTTTCTACCAGCCAATCAAATTCGAGTTTTATCAATAGAGGTATAATAAACAGTATTATTGCAGTGTTTGATGTAGTGATTTTTGCCCCCCTTTATTTACCTGTATTATGGCAGTGTTTGATGTAGTGATTTTTGCCCCCCACACCTCAACTTACCTGTATTATGGCAGTGTTTGATGTAGTGATTTTTGCCCCCCCCTTTATTTACCTGTATTATGGCATTGTTTGATGTAGTGATTTTTGCCCTCCACACCTGAACTTACCTGTATTATGGCAGTGTTTGATGTAGTGATTTTTGCCCATAGTGTTCAGCATGTTGACACAGGATTCGTCGTAGTACACCTGGCACACTCCTCCATTCTGAATGTAAGTGAAGGCCTTACACTCCCTACAGGCAGACTGGCAACCAATGATGTCCTTGGTGAAACTGACAGAGACGTCGCACATCATGTACATGTTCTCAGAATTCAACTTCATCTGCTCGTAACTGCACTTCCTGTCAGCTGAAAGAAAAAGAATTGGCAATGAACTTCAAAGTATCACTGACAAACTGAAGCAAAACTTCCAGGAAATTATGGGTAATGTCCTAAAAAGACAAATTTTTGAACAATACTTTAAGCTTGTTCTTCAATAAGTAAAAATCAAAACTGAGTGAGTCAGTCCCTTAATTTTACTTTTAGTCTAAATAATATTACTCAGCAATAATATAGTTTTTCATAATTATAAAATACCCTCTCTATTCCAAATATCTGAAATACTTGTACATATAAGTAAAAACAAGCCTATAACGAAGTGCCAGGGATGGGCAATTTTGATTCGATAAAAGCGTAATTCACAATGCCCTTTTTAAAGTCATGAATGAAGATCAGTTGGCTATAAGTGGAAATTCATTATAAACTGTTCTCTATAAGCGTGTTTTACTGTACGAGGGCTGTTCAATAAATAATGTCCTCGATGCTCAGAAAGAAGCAAAAGACGCTTTTCAATGGTTTAGTCTTCATGATTTTACTAATTAATCTCTTTTAAGTAAAATACATGTCCGTAACATCCTTTATCCAATTTCTGATTGTTTTTAGAACTCAATTTTGGGTATGACCCTTAGTATACTGGAAAATGGCAGATCCAGTGATTTCCCGGACTTGTTTCTTCCCTCTGAAAGGTTTTCTTTTCAAGTTTGGAAATAGAAACAGGTCAAAAAGTCAAAGATCTGGCGAATATTGTTAATGAGAAAAAACATTAACTTTTTGTTTATCCCGAAAATCCCTTCACTCTTCAGGGCATGCAGGTTTGGACGCTGTCTTGAAAAAATTCAACGTATTGGAGTCCTGATTCTGGGTCCTTCCTCTAATAAATCTTTCGATTTTTTTGCAAAAAAATTGCTTTCTAGACTCCTCCAGAAATTAAACTCTCTCTCCGAATACGAACTTGAACATCAATACCACTAATTTTTAAGAAAATTACATATGAATCTGTCTTTGTGCTCTTGAATACATGTGGTCTTGTCAGACATTCGCCATTTTTATCAAGAACATCTTATGGTAAATTTTGTTTTGAGGGTATTAATCAATAGATTCATGTTCCAATAATCTGTTTGAAAATAAAACACACGTGGATAACTAAAATTACTGATATTTTAAAATAATTGTAAAGAATTTCGTATACGCTGTCGTTTTCACTCATTTTTCAAAATATAGGGTGACCTTTGAGTACCAAGCTTTTTTTACCGTCAAACGTTTCTTAACAACAGTGCAAACTATCCCCGATATGATGTCTATCAAATTTTCTATGTGTCTTAAAGTCAATCATACATCATCAAATATTATTTGTTGAAATATGGCAACCAGTACATACGTTGTTATAATTTTTGTTTGCAAGGAGGGTACCCATTTTTGATGCCCATTAAATAATTTTTTATCATTGAAATCCACCGGCTCTTTTGTCTATAAAACAGGCATTGGTTGCTATAAATGTCATATATTTCAGTTAATATTTCTTTGGGATTTTTAACAAGTTTTACGGCAGCTATAATGAAGCTTTTATTTTCACTCTAGTTTACTGACTCGTTACCATTCATTTATAATGCAGTGTCTCGAAAAGCCCTTGTTTCCCAGCTTCTCACGATGAAACTATGTGATGAAAAGTGGTCATATAAACTGCATAAAATTTATGAAAGATTCAATTATGAGAGAAAGTCAACTTTAGTGTCGTATGATATCTGTAATGTATGTTATATAGTTCAGGTCATTATTTATTGAACAGCCCTCGTACATCCATAAAGATAGATATCAAAAACATGCACAACAAAAATACAGATGACAAACACAGACACTGAAACATTTACTATGACAATGAAAGTATATTATGTCAAAACTGACGATGTATAAATAAACCAATCATATGATACACAAATATGCCTGTTGTAAAATGTGAACATATTTCTAGAAAAAATTAGATGTAGAAATAAAGATTTCTTCAATTCGTACAGAAGAAAAATTGTGCAGAGGGGAAATGGAGAACGTGGGAAAAATGACAGATCATATGCACACTAATAAATACCCGGAAAGTGTTTACAGCGAAGGACCTCATAGAAGGTCATTTTAGGGTTAGGCCAATAGGTCACATCCTGTCCCCTCTGGAACACCGCACAAAGACCACTATCTGCGGCGTACTCAAATCCGAGGCACGTGGCCTGCTGTTCGCAGCGATCGAGGCAGAGCTCCCAGGAACCGGCCTGGCTTGTTACTATCTGTTTCCCCCAAAGTACCCCTTCTAGTTTCTCATGAACTTGATATTCACATCTGATACCTACATAGGTATAACACAAAGTCACTGGATTAACATATACGGCACCAACACAAAACATTTCAAAAGTTTTTGTGTACTTCTATCAAACGAATTTTTTTCTATATGTGTCTTTCAAGCAGTGCTTATATGTTCATCTACACTAAAAAATATGAATTGACAATAGACATAATAGATACATTATATTAAAATGAAGCAATGACACAATGAAATACATGCACATAAGATGCATAATGAATGAATACAGAATGGTGCATTTTTTGCAGCTTTCACTGCATTAAGGGAAATAGCTTTTCACTGCATTATGGGAAATAGCTTTTCACTACATCATGGGAAATATTCACAAATCATCAATAATAACCAAGTCCCCTGACTCAACACACAGCACATGCAGACAAAACAATAAAACATCTAAAATGTCAATTGTTAAGCGTGTATGGACTGGAAATATCCCCATATGACATGTTTAAATTGCATCATTCATAGATTATAAACCATCTTTCCTTTTAAACTACTGTATTAACTAAGTAGTTTAGTCATTATGATTCTGAATATTCTTGGTTCTCATCCTTTTTGGGACAATTTTGTCTGGACTATATTAGCTCTCTTTAAAATACTGTAAAGCACTTTTTATTTGCGAGAACTTTATCTTCGTGTAATTACGTGAGATGGAAAATTTCATTCTCGCGTATTATAGAATTCCTTAATATTATATACAGCAAAGACCACAATTCGTGAAAATTTTGTTTCGCTAATAAAGATTTAATGACTATCTCACAAAAATAAGGTGTCGCGAAAATTAAGTGATCTACAGTACTTAAGTTAAATACTCGTTCACAGTGACAATCTTCTGAGATTTCTTGGTCCTTACAAGACCTGCTGTAGGTTCTACATCTGCTAAGGAACTCTCCAAGAACTGAGCTATGATCCAGTTAATTGAACACTGATGGCATGTCTGCCTCTAACTATGCTTCACATTCAAGCAAGTTTGGTCATATAGGGCCTTACAGTGACAATTAAGGAATAAACCCCTTCTGCATCATTAATCTGATCAGTTTGAACTGCTTTACTTCATAATCTTAAACAACTGTACAACTCATGGACTTCTTCAAACAAGTCTGGTACAGAACCTTAGCCCCACAAAAACAAATCTGCTTACTCATCCACAAACAAAGGTTATAAATAACAGCATGAGTCAGGACTGACATTATGCATCTCTGGGTGCAGCAGCCTAGTTCAAGTTACTATAACCAAGACTGGACCTGGGTAAAAATATTTAAAGCTTTCCGATGCCAGTGAAGATAAGATCATAAATCTGTTTAAAAATGTTTAAATATGTTTAAATATAGACTACTAGTGCATGAACTATTTCCTTATGCCTATTTTTAATAGTAATTCAGTAGTTGATCAATTTTCCTTGTCTAAGCAGCTTTGATGTATCAAACATAATTTTAAACCTATCAGTATAAATGACATATGTACCCATTAATAAGATATATGATACTTTTATATTTAAATTGAACATGTTGGCAACTGACAAGCAATTACTGGGGTGCATCAAAATTGAGAACTCTATCCCACAGTCATAAAAAATCACAGAATTAACCAATATCTTTTACATGTCTTCAGGGAAAAAGTCCTGACACAGTTCTCAAATAACCTATCATTATCATGTCCAAAGCTGAATGAAATGCATAAGAATGAGATATTATGGAGATGCTCAATAAATATTACCATAAACCAACCTACTCAACCATAAAAAAAGTAGGGCAGTTGTATCATCTTCATCATCACGAGAACAAATATAGAGAAACAATAGGCATATTTGGGGCATACACACCTCTGACTATTGAGTTATTTCTGGCAGACTGCTGAGCTATTTGTGGAGCCTTCTGATGGCTGGCGCAGGCTTCCCCGGAGTCGATCTTAATGTGTTTCTGTTCCAGACAGGCCTGCCTGTGGAGCTCGCAGTGACTGGGATACACCACCCCATCCGATCCACACACAGCGTGAGCATGCTTAGAGCAGAGGGTACTATCACCACACACGCAGGATCTTTTGTGGCAGACTCTACCGGAGGGGCAGTCACGGTCTGATGAACAGGACACTATGGAAAAAATAAACTTTACAGAATCAAGAAAGATTAAACCAGACATATGCCCATATACAGTAACCTCGTTATCTCAAACTTTATGGGGATGAGAAAAAAAACTTCGAGATATCTCAGAATTTGAGGAACCATCAGACTGAGCCTACTTACCATGCGGTCTAGACAAGATGTGCTTGGTTTTCCTTTGCTTGGTTTTTCTCTCTGACACAGGAGTCACACGAGTAGGTCTGGTGGTAGGAGGATTGGGTCGGGTAGAGGGCGCTGCTGTGGTGGAAGAGACCTTTGACCCTCTGACTTTCTGTTTCTGACCCAACACAACATCAGAGACTTTTTCTTTCTCTCTGAGTGATATTTTTGCCTCTTCTTTTTCTGTTTGTTCATTAGTCGCTGTCCCTTGCTCTTCTTCACTGCTCTGATCATTTTGAATCCTCTCAATAACTTTTCTCATTGAATCATTGCTCACTTTTTTCACAGTTCCTTCACTGCTTCTCAGCAATGTACCAGATCTCTGTGTTGTTTTCTGTTGGTTTTGGAGGCTTTCAGCAGTAGTTGTTGATGGTTTAGCCTCGGTCTGTGCTGCCTGGCTTTCTTTGACAGTGTTGTCTGTCGTTACTTTGACTTTCCCGATGTCACTGTCTAATACAACATCGGTCTCCGTGTATGGTAGCTTATCACCATAAACTTCCCTGATAAACTCTTTCATCTGATCACTCCACTTAGAGGGACTCCCATCATCTCTAATGGTCAGCTTTACACTGGTGATTCTACCTCTGTGTGCCTTCTGAAGGGAACTGTTTTCACTTTCTGTGTGAGGCACTTCACCATGGTCAGTTTGAACACGATCTACCTCCTGATTTTGTGTTTGGTGGTTAGGATTCAATGTTGTAGATTTTGCTCCACTCTTTTCCGTCGATTTTTGACCTGCAGTGTTCTCTCCTTTTTCTGGGTGCACAGGTTCATGTAACGTCAAACCAACAGATTTGTCCCCCCTTGTTTCTGAAGATTTTGTTTCTTTTTCGGGGACGTAGATTTTGTTGACAGGAGGTCTCCAGTATCCAATATAACCTGGGTCATTGTACAGGGTACCATGTTTCTGAAAATACATAATGCAAATTGTAATAAACATAGAAATTGAAATGAATAAAAAAAAAATCAATTAATGGATAAACACAAAAAGTCTAAAAAAAATGCATGTGTAAACAGCAAGTCACATGTGGAACCAGAAGTCTCTGTTTAGACTGTAGCTCTACTGGTTTGTACTAATAGCAAAGGATGAAAAAAGAAACCATTGCCCTCAGACCAAAACTGTAGAAGGAGTAGCATTTAAAAGGAATTTAATTGAAAATTTTATTTTTTAATTAACCATGGCAACAACGTTCATCGAAATCAAAAACTGATGCACTATTTTATGTATCATAGTGTAGTCTACTTGTGTGCCAAGTTATATTGAAATCAGACAACAACAGTAGGATGAGTAGCGTTTTAAAGAAATTTCACAGAAAATTCTATTTTTAGTAACCATGGCAACAACGTTCATCGAAATCAAAAACCGATGCACTATTTTATGTATCTTAGTGCAGTCTTCCTGTGTGCCAAGTTATATTAAAATCAGATCACAACTGTAGGAGAAGTAGCGTTTTAAAGAAATTTCACAGAAAATTCTATTTTTAGTAACCATGGCAACATCTTCATCGAAATCAAAAACCGATGCACTATTTCATGTATCTTAGTGTACTCTACTTGTGTGCCAAGTTATATTGAAATCAGATCACAACTGTAGGAGGAGTAGCCTTTTAAAGAAATTTCACAGAAAATTCTATTTTTAGTAACCATGGAAACATTGTTCATCGAAATCAAAAATCAATGCACTATTTCATGTATCTTAGTGTAGTCTACTTGTGTGCCAAGTTATATTGAAATCAGACTAAAACTGTAGAAGGAGTAGCCTTTTAAAGAAATTTCACAAAAAATTCTATTTTTAGTAACCATGGCAACATCGTTCATCGAAATCAAAATCCGATGCACTATTTTATGTATCTTAGTGTAGTCTACTTGTGTGCCAAGTTATATTGAAATCAGATCAAAACTGTAGGAGGAGTAGCGTTTTGAAAAATTGTTTACAGACGGACAGACAGACAGACGGACGGACGACGGACACCTTACTATTGCATAAGCTCTTCTGGTCTCTGACCAGTAGAGCTAATAATGAGAGATGAACATTTTTCAACATGTTCAAGAAATAAATTTTATTTTATTCAAATTTCACTTATACATATAAACCTAATTAATTCAAAATTGTATAATAAATTATTTAAAACACTACTTCAAGTTATTCCATAATTCCAACACCAAATATTAAGTCAAGTATTACTTTGAAGTCTTTAAACACTTTTGAGGACAACAAATTTACCATTTTTACAATGAGCATTGTGTTTTACTTGCTGCATGGCAGTTCCTTAAAATGTTTCAGATATCTTTTTAATTGGTAATATGCAATAACATCATGCATTGCTTTTCAGATAAAAGAGACCATAAAAATTGATGCCACATGCTTTTGATTTTTTTACTAGCACCATGCAGCACCATAGCTATTTGATGCTAGCCATTATGGGCTAAATGCACCATCTGAAACAGCATTTCACAGTGAGTCATGGAGTTCCATTTGTATCACCATGGAATCCTACTCTATAAAACCTTTTTATGAACTGTTATGGATCTGTTTTAGGATTTCATCAGCATTACAAAAGGATTAGTCTCATGAATGATCCAGATAAAACATAGCAATGATAAAAACGGCTATTCTTCTAAACAAGTGTATAAGAACATAATGACAGTATCTGCACAAACTACTGGAGGGGAATTGAGACATGAAATTAATGAAAAAATTCTCAAAAGTTGCTGCATGGAATTCTGCACAGACAGCACAATGGAAAGATCAGCTTATTTGGGATGATTACAAAATCAATTACTAGGCTTCATCGTGTAGTCCTAACATCCCTGTTATTTGTTAGAGGTATTGATCTCGCTTTAACCTTTCCAATAAATCTCCCCGAGAGAGGTAGATTTCTATGCATTGTCACTGATATTCTACACAACATAAATGAATCGGTCAAATGATACATATGTTGAAATGTCATAAGCTATTCAATCTATGGCTTAATTGTTGTTTCGTAATTAATTGCAACCCATACATAAGTAGCAGAAAATCATGCATTCTTTATATAACTGGGTAAATTGAAGCTAAGATATAACAGTTATGTACATGTATCTGAGAAAATAACATATTTTCACAATTAATGTGTAACAGTGTCTATATTCCTTAAATTCAGATCAATTGTTTTGAAAATTTACAAAATAATTCAATAAAAATTTAATTTAAATCTAATTTCTATTAATATAACAGATTTCTTTCTTTTTTCTTTTTTAGGTATAATTTTCAATTCGAAATTGCAGTACATATTCTTAACTTCAGTTGTATAACTCTTTTTTTTTCCTTTTTTGCTGCATCAAAACAAGACAGGCAGGATGAGTTCATTATTGTGAGTCACTAGTTAGTAGTGAGACAACAAGAATGTGTCAGCATATTACACGGGCTGAAAATCAATGACTTCATTTCTATATCAAAACTCAATCCAAAGAAACCGTTTAGAGCTTTTGAAATGAAAACACTTACCCTTAATGAATTTTTCTTACATTTATGTAAAAAAAAAAAAGAACTTCAAATATAAAATGAAACCAAAACAAGAGGCCCATGGGCCACATCGCTCACCTGAGCACTAAGGGTAGGACTAGTATAAAATGGCTTTTTATTGTAAAGTTTAAATCCAAAAGTAGTCCCATGACCAATCATGGATTTGCTATTTTTTAGAAAATGATTGAGAAGAAGATTTTTAAAGAATTTTCCTATATATTTCTATGTAAAACTTTGGTCGGCCATTTTGGCCCCGCCCTACCCCCGGGGGTCATGATTTGAACAAACTTGAATCTACACTACCTGAACATGCTTCCATATAAATATGATGAATTATGGCTTTGTCATTCTTGAGAAGATTTTTAAAGAATTTTCCTATATATTTCTATGTAAAACATTGGTCGGCCATTTTGGCCCCGCCCTTACCTGGGGGGTCATGATTTGAACAAAATTGAATCTACACTACCTGAGGATGCTTCCATATAAATATGATGAATTATGGCTTTGTCATTCTTGAGAAGAAGATTTTTAAAGAATTTTCCTATATATTTCTATGTGAAACCTTGGTCGGCCATTTTGGCCCCGCCCTACCCCCGGGTATCATGATTTGAACAAACTTGAATCTACACTACCTGAGGATGCTTCCATATATATATGATGAATTATGGCTTTGTCATTCTTGAGAAGAAGATTTTTAAAGAATTTTCCTATATATTTCTATGTAAAACTTTGGTCGGCCATTTTGGCCCCGCTCTACCCCCGGGGGTCATGATTTGAACAAAATTGAATCTACACTACCTGAACATGCTTCCATATAAATATGATGAATAATGGCTTTGTCATTCTTGAGAAGAAGATTTTTAAAGAATTTTCCTATATATTTCTATGTAAAACATTGGGCGGCCATTTTGGCCCCGCCCTACCCCCGGGGGTCATGATTTGAACAAACTTGAATCTACACTACCTGAGCATGCTTCCATATAAATATGATGAATTATGGCTTTGTCATTCTTGAGAAGAAGATTTTTAAAGAATTTTCCTATATATTTCTATGTAAAACTTTGGTCGGCCATTTTGGCCCCGCCCTTACCTGGGGGGTCATGATTTGAATAAACTTGAATCTACACTACATGAGCATGCTCCCATATAAATATGATGAATTATGGCTTTGTCATTCTTGAGAAGAAGATTTTTAAAGAATTTTCCTATATATTTCTATGTAAAACATTGGTCTGCCATTTTGGCCCCGCCCTACCCCCGGGGGTCATGATTTGAACAAACTTGAATCTACACTACCTGAGCATGCTTCCATATAAATATGATGAATTATGGCTTTGTCATTCTTGAGAAGAAGATTTTTAAAGAATTTTCCTATACATTTCTATGTAAAACTTTGGTCGGCCATTTTGGCCCCGCCCTTACCCGGGGGGTCATGATTTGAACAAACTTGAATCTACACTACATGAGCATGCTCCCATATAAATATGATGAATTATGGCTTTGTCATTCTTGAGAAGAAGATTTTTAAAGAATTTTCCTATATATTTCTATGTAAAACATTGGTCGGCCATTTTGGCCCCGCTCTACCCCCGGGGGTCATGATTTGAACAAACTTGAATCTAGACTACCTGAGGATGTTTACCCATAAGTTTCATCTTTCCTGGCACAGTGGTTCTTGAGAAGAAGATTTTTAAAATATACCACTAAATTTTCATTAATTCCCAATTATCTCCCCTTGAATAAGGGCGTGGCCCTTCATTTGAACAAACTTTAATCCCCTTTACCCAAGGATACTTTGTGGCAAGTTTGGTTGAAATTGGCCCAGCGGTTCTTGAGAAGAAGTCGAAAATGTGAAAAGTTTACAGACAGACAGACGGACAGACAGACGGACAGACGGACGCCGGACAAAATGTGATCAGAAAAGCTCACTTGAGCCTTCGGCTCAGGTGAGCTAAAAAGCAACATAAAATGTTATTCCTGTTTTATCAATTGTTTGAACATGAAATGTGTTAAATTGCTACAGAAAGATGCACAGAAAAACAGGAAGTTGATAAAAAATTCATCCAAAAATGAATCCCACCATAAGGCTTGCCTAAACAAAGAGCATGCTAAAATTTCAAGTATCTGCCATGACTAATTGATGGTAATACTGTGATGAAAATTGGTTACTGACAGACACACACAGAAACAGACAAAAGTAAAGGGTAAAACACCACCCCCCCCCCTTCTCCATTGGAGCAAGGGTATAATAAGGGAATAGATTAAAACTTCTACCTTCTCCATAAGTAATGACACAATGATACCTGTCTAATATGACATGCAATGAGGCAACAGATTACACAATGTTAAAATGGTAAAATGAGAATTTAAACAAGGATCCCTGGATTCAGTGCAACAGAATA